CTCCTCCTTTTCTCCTTCTATTTCTCTTTCTCGTCTCTTTCTCACAATCTCTCTCATATCTCACTCCTCTCCCTCTCCCTCTCCCTTTTCCTGTGTATCTCTCTTTGTTTCTATTTCTCTTTCGCTCTCTCTCTCTCTCTCTCTTTCTTACTCTTCATCTCTATCTCTCTCACTCTCACTCCCCCTTTCTCCCTCTTGCCTTCCCCCTCTCTCCCTCCCATATATTTATTTTTCTCTATCTCTTTCTTTCTTATATCTCATTATTTAATTTATTGACCTTGTCAATTTTAATAATATTATTAAAGTCTATTATGTTTCTACATTTTAATGATATTTGTTAACACTTTTTTATTTGTTAACATTATATTTCTTCTTATCTTCTTCCTTCTGTGTTCCTCTTGTGCGTGAGGATTGTTGTTGTGCTATAGATTCAAAGGTTGAAGCTAAGAATCAAGTTGGTGGTTTGTTGCCGAGCTTCCTCGAAGCTTAGAGTTTTCTACTTCCTTCTTCCTTTTTTCTCGAATTGATTGTAAGGCAAGGGAAGTTAAAATTGATTCTTTGTTGAATTGTTGAGTTGTATGTGCCTATATTTCCTTAAATTCTTAGTTGTTTGATGAAATTGAGGCGGGATTTTTGTGCATATTGAGTTTTTGGTGTTTTGAGTTACGGGGGTGAATTTGGTGAACAATGCAAATTTAGTTGCATGTTTTATTTGAACCTAGGATGTGGCTTTGAATGACAAGTAAAAGCTATTGAGTGCATTGTATGCTTGGTTCTTCTGGATTTTAGGTGTATTGAGGCAATTTTTGAAGTTTGTATCCGTAGATTTCTGATATGATGTCGAGCGCGCCTTTGTGGCATCGGGCCTGAGAAAAATAGAAAGTCTCTAACTTGGTGAAGTTAGGTCTTATTTGGGTGGCGCCAAGCGTAATCAAGACAAAGACTCTATGCCTTGACAATGTCGGACCTTAAAGAGATGACACAAAGCATGAGTCAAGTAGAGGTTATTTGCTTGATATAAGGCCGGATGTGGATTTTGCCACACTAGGTGTGAGGTCCTAAGAGCTTTCTACCTCAGTCACGTTGGACGTCATATGAGTGACACCAAATGTGGACAAGGCAGAAAGTTCTCTGCTTTAGTGGTGTTGGGCGCGAGATAAGTTGTGTTGGATGCAAATTATGTTGTTGAATTCATGTTATTTGATGAATGCATTGGTGAATATGAATAAAATATGTGAATATATTGCATGTTGAATGATGTATGGTGGTGATAAACATTCATATGCCATGTATGATTGATATGCTAAAATTACATGGTTGGAGTGTTACACAGGTATTGGTATTCTATTATTGAATAAGTCATTGAACAATGGTATGCTAGCCTTGAATGAGATGTATAACATTGGTAGGCTAATTATGATTTGGTATGATTTGATCTCTGTGACACCCTTCTACCCCATAATAGATAAGTAACAACAATAAGAATAATTCAATAAATATAACATCAAGAAGGGTCCACATATTTTAATAAAAACTCATAGGTTCACAAGTCTTGAAATAAATAGAAATAATAATAATAATAATAATAAAGTTTTACTCTTAAAAGAAAATTATCAAGGTCTCTAAAGAAAAATGAAAGGGATCCAGAATTTACAAATATAAGGTGAATATAAAACTCCTAAAAATAAGTCTCCTCAAACGACAAATAACAATTCATAACTAAAGCATCCTAAATTCATGCCCCAATGTCACATCCTATCAGAGCAGAACCCTTTCCCTTTAGAACTCAACACTATGAGTGCCTTCATCTTCACCTAAAAGAAAACCACATAAAAACAGGACGGTGAGAGATAGATAACATCATATATGAACATAGAGCTACCCAATTCCCACCCCACACCGTGCACCAAAATATCATCATTAACTATAAACAACAAATACATCTCATATAATTACCAAACATCATTTTTTTTCAATCATACAAGCTTTCATACACATGCTCACTATATGCTCATACACATCTCCTCTCCTAAGAGTCTCAACTTGGCACTCCGCACAATGGGCGTACCTCGTCAATTCCCTTAGTTGTTGCCAATG